GGTGTGGTGTGTTATATGGATAATATAATACTATGCTATATGTAATATTTATATTAATATACAGTAATAAACATATATATAGTAGTCTAGTATTTATGTCGATCTTACGATTATTATAGTGTATCGAAGAGTATATACTAGCCAATTGAGCATGCTAATGTATACTGTATTAGTCATAGAGTATCTGCAACACGCGTGTGTGTGTGTGTGTGTGTGTCGTGTGTGTGTGGGTGTGTGTGTGTGTGTTGTGTGTGTGTGTGTGTGTGTTGTGTGTGTGTGTGCGTGTATGTAGGCCTACCCATGATGTGATTGAGACCATATGTGTGCACATAGCTGAAACGGTCTCCGACCATATGACCAAATAGTTACAAAAATCATAAGGACAAAAACGGAACCTGACAACCCTTGTCCATATGAAATAACAAGGAAATCTCTATATAAGTAGTGAATAAACGCTTATGATCCAAATCTTCATAAAAATTTAGACAGTTTTTAAGGAGTAATAAAGGTCTTATTTTGGTTTACTTCATTTCGTATGTTGATATAGTTCAATCGGATGGAAAATGAATACAAAGAAAGTATAATAGTAATGATAATAAACTGATAAATAAAAATAAAGCATTGGTCGGGGATATTTTCGTCGGAAATAAAGAAAACTGTCCAATACCAGGGGAGACTTAGGAAATTTATACTCAGGCTAGAAAATTTCTAGCAGGATGCCTTGATTTTGGGTAATTAGCCTCTCAGTTTAAGATTCTCTTCGTTACAAGACTCACGAAGAATAGTAAATAAATCAATAAAGGACAAGGTAAGAAAAAATATGTTGTTAGAATAATGACAGTCAACCTAAAACAACATATTTTGATGAAAATTGCTCGCGAAAATGCGGCATGAAAATGTAGTAACAGCATTCATCTTTTTAAAAGGTAAATAGAATACAATTTTCCCACAACGACACTGCTATCTGCAGCAATTAATCGAATCACATAGAATTGTGATATATCAATACTGTTATCCATTGAATTCTATCATTACCGAAGATAAAAGTTATCTCCCTTAAGAAATACAGAAAAGCTTGAAAAAGACAAGCATAAGAGGAGAAATCAGTACAAAGAGAAGTAAGCATAAGAAAGATGAATAATAAATGCAAAGAGAAGTAAATATAAGAAAGAAAAATATCCAAAGAGAAGTAAGCAAAAGAAAGAGGAAAAGTCAGTACAAAGAGAAGCAAGCATAAGAAAGAAGTAGAATGAAAGAGAAGTAAACATAAGAGAGGAAAAATCAATACAAAGAGGAGCATAAGAAAGAGAGAAGTAAGCATAAGAAAGAATTATAATCAAAGAGAAGTAAGAAGAAGAAAGAGGAAAAATCAGTACAAAGAGAAGCATAAGAAAAAAGAAAAAACAATACAAAGAGGAGCATAAGAAAGAGAAATAATCAGGTACAAAGAGAAATACGCATAAGAAAGAAGAATGATCAAAGAGAAGTAAGCAAAAGAAAGAAGAAAAATCAGTACAAAGAGAAGTAAGCAAAGAGAAGAGGGAATGATTCATGAAAAAGAGAAGTAAAAATTCGATCTAGTGAAGCGGCCTTATTCCAAACGCTACCGAAGCGGGTCTACTTAGAATTGAAAAACTCTTCTTTTATAACCTGCTGACTGCTAACATCCTGGTTGAAGCATAGTTCGAAATCGTCACTACTTTACCTATACTGTTTTATTCTTAATTAGAAATTCTAGGTAATTTATACATGTCTCTCGGTATTCGTTCCTTTTCTTTGACTTTCCATTTCTATTTTCTTCCATCTGTTCCTTTCGTTGGTTCCGTATTGCGAGTTATTGCGTCTTTATTCATTCCGTTTCTTTATATATCTTTCGTTGAGTTTCCATTTCTATCTTCCATCTTTTCTACCCTTTTTATTTCGTCTCTTCCGTATTCTGATCTCTCATATCTTTATCAATGCCATCTCTTGATCTAACTATCTCCTCTATGCTTATTCGTAACTTCATCATCATTGTCCTTTGAAAAAAAAAGAAAATCCTGTTCTTTTCTTCATTTCTCTCTTCCCTTTCCTTCCTAACCTGCTATACTCTTACCAAAAACCTCCGTCAGTATATCTGCCGCTCCTGTAGATGCTTACCGTCAGAAGGACCTCGAGATAAGAATGGGGAAGTAAATCACCATAAACAAAAGAAACATCAAAGGAAAGACGATCCTTGACGCCTTGTCGATCTCCTTCCACAGGATCTTCTTCTCTCCTGTTTTGACGTCGACCCAGTGGAGGCTGAGACGCCCCATGACCTGCTTGCTGGAGAGGGGCTGGACGCCACCCTGCTCGAGGTCCCACGCCGAGCGGAGGGCGGAGCGAGTGGGAGGGCGGCGAGGGGCGCCGTTCTCGCCGTGCTGGGGGTAAAAAAGCAGGACATTTTACTAAGCAGCTTTGAGGATGAAAGGAATCTTTTTGAAGTAATCAAAAACGTTCTACTTCACTAAATTCACAATTATTAAATTACTTTAGTTAGCCTTACATTTTTTAGAAAACGAATACTCACGTGATGCAAAGAAAATGGTTATTAGGGTAGACTAAGGTATATAACAATGTCGTGCTATCACAAGGTGTATGTGTACTAATGTCATACTTTTGAACTACATACTTATTCTACTGCTATATACTAAATCTACTAAGACGGATCAATTAAAGACAAGGTAATATATACAAAATGCGTGAAGGCACCCACAAGTTTATTAAATAAATTGGAAAATAAGTCCCACACCACCAAAAAGAAACCTAAAAATACAAAAAAGAAAGAGAGAGAGAGAGAGAGAGAGAGAGAGAGAGAGAGAGAGAGAGAGAGAGAGAGAGAGAGAGAGAGAGAGAGAGAGAGAGAGAGAGAGAGAGAGAGAGAGAGAGAGAGAGAGAGAGAGAGAGAGAGAGAGAGAGAGAGAGTGAGAGAGAGAGAGAGAGAGAGAGAGAGAGAGAGAGAGAGGAAGAGAGAGAGAGAGAGAGAGAGAGAGAGAGAGAGAGAGAGAGAGAGAGAGAGAGAGAGAGAGAGAGAGAGAGAGAGAGAGAGAGAGAGAGAGAGAGAGAGAGAGAGAGAGAGAGAGAGAGAGAGAGAGAGAGAGAGAGAGAGAGAGAGAGAGAGAGAGAGAGAGAGAGAGAGAGAGAGACAGAGAGAGAGAGAGAGACAGAAAGATAAAGAGAAACAAAAAGATAAAGAGAAAGACAGAGACAATCGAAGACAAACAAACTAGGTCCGGGTCTCCCAAGACAAGAGAGACCCAAACCAACCAACAGACACACCCACAAACAGACCCCCAGCGCATCTTACCGCCAGGTCCGTAAGCTTGTGGTTCTGTCCCTGCAGTGTTTTGGTGCCGCTGCCTTCCGTGTCGGAGTGAGACAAGACACCGTACCGACGCAGGTATTCTGTCGCTTGTTCGTGTTTGTCGGTCGGAGAGGCGGAGGAAGTGCGAAGCTGGAAGGGGTCCGCGCTTTTATCTCGAGAGGTCTAACTACACAAAATTTAGGGTTGGGGCTTTTGGGGCGATTTTTTTTTTTCGTTTAGTTTGGGTTTCTTCTCTACTTTCAAAAATGGAAGGATATAGGAAGTAAATATGAGCTGGAGAGGTCGATGGAGCGAAGCGAGGTTTCTCTTTGGATATACAAAAGTATATATGTGTATATATACTGCATATATACACGCACACATATATGCATGTATGTATATATATCCATACATATATATATTATATATATATATATATATATATATATATATATATATTATATTTATACATATGTATATACATATAAATATATGTATGTAAATTTAAGTATACATATCTATCTATCTATACATATGTATACGCATTTATGTATGTACATGTATATTATATATATATATATATATATATATATATATATATATTATATATATATATATATATAATGTGTAATATAGATATGTATGTATGTATATGTATATGCATATATATATATATATATATATATATATATATATATATATATATATATATATATATATATATATATATATATATATATATATATATTATGTATGTATATATATATATAATATATATATATATATATATATATATATATATATAATATACATACACACATATACATTCATAATATATGCATACATCTATCTATCTACATCGCTTTTTAATTTATTATAAACTTATTTATTAACTTCCTGCTCCAGCGACCTCTTCTGCAAAAGGGACCAAGCAAGCGAGGTGTGTCGACCTGTGCCTGGGATGGTCAGCATGAGGGTTTGGGACAGTCTAGTCAGCTAAGGTTTTCATGCATTCGTAGATATATACACAGGGAGAATGTATATGTGTATGTTGTGTATATGGATATGTATATGAATATATGTGGTCATATGTGTGTGTGTGTGTGTGTGTGCATATATATATATATATATATATATATATATATATATATATATATATATATATATATATATATATATATATATATATATATGTATATATATATGTATATGTATATTATATTATATATGTATACATATATTATATATATATATATATATATAATATATATAATATATATATATATATACAACACACACACACACACACACACACACATATTATATATATATATATATATATGTATGTGTATGTGTGTGTTTGTGTATACACGCATACATACATAAGCATATATATATATATATATATATATATATATATATATATATATATATATATATATATATGTATATATATATGTAACATATATATATACATATAATAATATATATAATATATATATATATACATATTATATACACACACACACACACACACACACACACACACAACATATATATATATATATATATACATGTGTATGTGTATGTGTGTGCATGTATGTGTGTGTGTGTGTGTATGTGCATGTACGTGTGCATTTGCGTGTGTGTTTAATCTCTGTATTTGTAACCTACAATTTAGCAATATAACTGTATCTTAAACTGTTAAAGAAAAGTAAATATAGAAATTGTTTCTGACAAAGAAATTTGAATTTTTATTTTTTTGCTTTGTATGTTGATGAATAAATATATAATTGCTAATCAAGATAACAATCAATAAACAATTCAATTTCCCATCTTAGATAAGAAAGGATTCGTTGTTTATATGAACATTTGGTTCCTCTAGAATAAAACTTTTATTGCAATAAAAACAATTATCTTAATATGATTTATCTACAAAGAAAATGACTGTACAGTGTGTGTCTCCGTGTGTGTGCGTGTGCTGAGTGCTTGTGTGTGTGTGAGTTACATGTGTACATATAGCATATAGCAATTACTTACAAAATCTAAGTAGGGTATTAAATATTACTAATAAAATGTATTTGCTATCATCGCCTGTGGTCACTATTATCAGGCTATTACTTAAGCTGTAAAGATATTAAGATATATATGCAACTACAATTGGATGTTTTGTAATACCAATAATCCTTTAGTTAAAAGGAAGGGAGAGAACCGTAGTAAATAGCATCTACTTCAATTTACGAAAAAAATCATGATTTAAAAAAAATATATTATGAATGAATATAAAAGATGAAAATACTAAAGCTTTCGGTTAGGTTGAACCAACGGTTATTCTTTAACGGTTTTCTTGGTTGACCGTTAGAAAATCCTACCACTTCTAACGGTACCGTTAGATAATCCAGTCATCTTTAAATTTTGACCTTAGAGAATCCAACCATCTTTAAACTGTTTCTCTTTGACCGTTAGAGAATGGTTTGAATTTTGACCGTTAGAGAATCCAACCATCTTTAACGGTTTCTCCTAGTCATAGAATCCAACAACGAACCGTTAGAGAATCCAACCATCTTTAACGGTTTCTCCTCTAACCGTTAGAGAATCCAACCACCTTTAACGGTTTTCTCCGTTATTTAACGGTTTTCTCCTTTGGACCGTTAGAGGATTCAAACCTTTGAATTCCCTCACCATAGACTGGGCTGGCTGCACGGGGATGGTCGGATGCACTATATGCTGCTGGTGCATCACGTTCAGGACACGAACCACGACGAACTCCCCTAAGGCAGCGAAGACGAAGACCATACAACCAGCCATCCACACGTCGATAGCCTGAGGGATTTGGGGGAGAGAGAGAGAGATAAGAGTGGGGAAAGAGGGTATGGAGAGAAAGAGGAGAGAGAGAGAGGGGAGAGAGGTATGGAGAGAGAAAGAGAGAGAGAGAGATGAGAGACGGGGAATGGGGGAGAAAAAAGGTATTGAGAGAAAGAGAGAGAGATAAGAGAGGGGAAAGATGGTATTAAAGAAAGAGAGAGAGAGATGAGAGACGGGGAATGGGGGAAAGGGAATGGAGAGAGAGAGGTAGAGAGGAGAGATTGGGCGGGAAAGAGGGTATGGAGAGAAAGAGAAAGAGAGATAAGAGACGGGGAAATGGGGCGGGAAAGAGGGTATGGAGAGAAAGAGAAAGATAAGAGAGGGGAAAGAGGGCGGGAAAGGGGGTATGGACTGAAATAGAAAAAAGAGATGAAAGACGGGGAATGGGGCGGGATAAAGGGAATGGAGAGAAAGCGGGAAAAGAGATAGAATGATAAGAGAGGGAAAGTGGGTATAACAAGAGAGAGAGTTGAAAAGGGAATAAGGGAACAGGGTATGGTATGGGAAAGAAAGATAAGATAATGAAGAGAGAGAGATAGTTCAGAGAGGAGGCGGTGAAAGAAATAGGAATTGGAGAGAGAGAGAGAAAGAGGGGGATGGGAGAGGAAAGAGGACATGATGAGAGACAGATTGGGAATTGAGAAAGATAAGGATAAAAACAGAGGGAATTGAGAAAGATGGGGATAACACTGTACGGGATAGAAAGATAAGATACACCAATATCTATATCTACACCAATACCCAAAAACCCCCAAAAAAAAAAAAAAAAAAAAAAAAAAAAACAGCAGAGGACTCCTACCTTGACATACGCCACGGGAGGTAACCCCTCTTTAATACCCGTGAACAGGGTCGTTAGCGTGAGAAGCGAGGTCACCAAGAGGGTCACGCGACCTGGGATGGCCTCTAGACCAAGCCAGAAGCTAAACCAGGACAAAGCCACCACGAGGAACGACGGGACGAAGGTCTGGACGAGGTGGTGTCCGATCTCGCGGGAGAATTGGAATTCCACAATCAGCTGACGCACCGGACGATTTCCAGCTGAAAGGAGGGGGCGTGGGGTTATGATGGGGGCTGGGTTGTGTTGTCTTGCTATGTTGGGGTTGGGTTATGTTGCTATGTTAGGGTTTGGTTATGATGTTGTTTTGCTATATTGGGGTTGGTTCATGTTGTATGCTGGGGTTGGGTTTTGATATGTTGCCAAGTTGGGGTTGGGTTATGGCATTCTGCTATGTTGGGTTATGTTATTTTGCGGTGTTGGGGTTATGTTGTTGAACTGTGTTTGTTTTCTTATTTGGTATAATGGCTTATCGGAAGATGAAATATAATTGAATACCACATTTTTCTGTTTTTATTCAAGACTGTTATTTAAATGTGGCTTGTTGTGGTGCATCATTTATTATCGTGATTAGAATATTTTGTTTCTCAAGTTATTGATATGTAATATAATTGTTTCTAGTATCGTTTTATGTTAATTCGACTTGTAAGGAGTTTAATAATTATTTTTAACATTAATAGCATGACAATGATTATAATCACTATTATCATTACTGTCAATTTTATCATCATCATTATTCTCATTACTACCTATACCCGTATTAACATCATAACCATAACTATCACCATTACCATTCCTACATTTCCAATAACAAATCAAAATAAACAACATAAAAAAAATCATAATGAAAATCTACATTTCCTAATAACAAATAAACATAAACAACAAAAAGAAATCATAATGAAAATCTACATTTCCTAATAACAAATAAACATAAATAAATATAAAAAATCCTAATGAAAATCTACATTTCTAATAACAAATAAAAATAAACAACACAAAAAAAATCAAATGAAATCTACATTTCCTAATAACAAATAAACATAAATAACATAAAAATCATAATGAAATCTACATTTCCTAATACACATAAATAACATAAAAAATCATAATGAAATCTACATTTCTAATAACAAATAAAATAAACAACATAAAAAAAAAATCCTAATGAAATCTACATTTCCTAATAACAAATACAAATAAAACAACACCAAAAAAAAACAATGAAAACATTTCCTAATACCAAATAAAAAATAAACAACATAAAAAATCACAATGAAAATCTACATTTCCTAATAACAAATAAACATAAACAACATAAAAAAATCATAATGAAAATCTACATTTCCTAATAACAAATCAAAATAAATAACATAAAAAAAATCATAATGAAAATCTACATTTCCTAATAACAAATAAAAAATAAACAACACAAAAAAATCACAATGAAAATCTACATTTCCTAATAACAAATAAACATAAATAACATAAAAAAATCATAATGAAAATCTACATTTCCTAATAACAAATAAACATAAATAACATAAAAAAATCTAATGAAATCTACATTTCCTAATAACAAATAAACATAAACAACATAAAAAAAATCACAATGAAAATCTACATTTCCTAATAACAAATAAACATAAACAACACAAAAAAATCATAATGAAAATCTACATTTCCTAATAACAAATAAACATAATAACATAAAAAAAATCATAATGAAATCTACATTTCCTAATAACAAATCAAAATAAACAACACAAAAAATCTAATGAAAATCTACATTTCCTAATAACAAAATAAAATAAACAACACAAAAAATCATAATGAAAATCTACATTTCCTAATAACAAATAAACATAAACAACAACAAAAAAAATCCTAACGAAAATCTACATTTCCTAATAACAAATAAACATAAACAACACAAAAAAATCATAATGAAAATCTACATTTCCTAATAACAAATAAAAATAAACAACACAAAAAAATCCTAATGAAAATCTACATTTCCTAATAACAAATCAAAATAAACAACACAAAAAATCATAATGAAAATCTACATTTCCTAATAACAAATCAAAATAAACAACACAAAAAATCATAATGAAAATCTATATTTCCTAATAACAAATAAAAATAAACAACATAAAAAAATCCTAATGAAAATCTACATTTCCTAATAACAAATAAACATAAACAACACAAAAAAAAAATCGCAATGAAAATCTACATTTCCTAATAACAAATAAAAAAAACAAAAAAAAATCCTAATGAAAATCTACATTTCCTAATAACAAATAAACATAAATAACATAAAAAAAATCCTAATGAAAATCTACATTTCCTAATAACAAATAAAAAATAAACAACACAAAAAATATAATAAAAATCAACATTTCCTAATAACAAATAAAAATAAACAACACAAAAAAAATCACAACGAAAATCTACATTTCCTAATAACAAATAAACATAAATAACATAAAAAATCCTATGAAAATCTACATTTCCTAATAACAAATAAACATAAAACATAAAAAAAAAATCATAATGAAAATCTACATTTCCCTAATAACAAATAAAAATCATAAAAAAATCATAATGAAAAATCTACATTTCCTAATAACAAATAACATAATAACATAAAAAATCCTAATGAAAATCTACATTTCCTAAATAACAAATAAACATAAATAACATAAAAAATCATAATGAAAATCTACATTTCCTAATAACAAATAAACATAAACACATAAAAAAATCCTAATGAAATCTACATTTCCTAATAACAAATAAACATAATAACATAAAAAAAATCACACGAAAATCTACATTTCCTAATAACAAATAAACATAAAAACATAAAAATCAAAAAATCAAAAAACAAATAAACTAAAATCATACGAAAATCTACATTTCCTAATAACAAATAAAATAAATAACATAAAAAAATCATAATGAAAATCTACATTTCCTAATACAAATAAACATAAACAACTAAAAAAAAATCCTAATGAAAATCTACATTTCCTAATAACAAATAAACATAAACAACACAAATAATCATAATGAAAATCTACATTCCTAATAACAATAAACATAAATAACACAAAAATCATAATAAAAATCTACATTTCCTAATAAACAAATAAAACATAAACAACACAAAAAAATCCTAATGAAAATCTACATTTCCTAATAAACAAATAAACATAAATAACATAAAAAATCCTAATGAAAATCTACATTTCCTAATAACAAAATAAAATAACACAACAAAAAAATCATATGAAAATTCTACATTTCCTAATAACAAATAAACATAAATAACATAAAAAATCATAATGAAATCTACATTTCCTAATAACAAAATCAAAATAAACAACAACAAAAAAATCACATAACGAAAATCTACATTTCTAATAACAAATAAACATAAATAACACAAAAAATCATAATGAAAATCTACATTTCCTAATAACAAATAAACATAAAAAAAAAATCCTAACGAAAATCTTACATTTCCTAATAACAAATAACAATAAACAACATAAAAAAAATCATAATGAAAATCTACATTTCCTAATAAAATCAAAATAAAATAACATAAAATCCTAACGAAATCTACATTTAATAAATCAAAAACATAAATAACATAAAAAAACATAAATAACATTAAAAAATCCTAATGAAAATCCCAATTTAAATCACCACCGAGCTCATCCGAAGTCGACTGATTAATCGAATTCTTCAAGGGCTTCGTGAGCGAGAACTGCAGTAGTTTGAGGTCCTTGTTGATGAGCACAGGCGACCAGCGACGCCAGAAGAACTCCACTTCGTCAGGAGAATACATGACTGGAAAGATAGAGTGGAGTCAGTGTGAGATCTGTGTCTATATCTGTGTCTATATCTGTATCGCTATATCTGTGTCTTATCTGTATCTATATTTGTATCTATATCTGTATCTATAAACTGTATCTATATCGTATTCTATATTTGTATCTATATCTGTATGACTGGAAAGATAAGAGAGGGAGTCATTGTGAGATCTGTGTCTCATTATTGTGTCTGTATCTATATCTGTGTCTAATATTTGTATCTAATATCTGTATGACTGGAAAGATAAGAGAGAAGTCAGCTGGTGAGATCTGTGTCTATATCTGTTGTCTGTTATCTATATCTGTGTCTTATCTATATTCTGTGTCTATATCTGTAACTATATCTGTATCTATATATATGTATCTATATCTGATCTATATCTGTATCTTGTATCTGTATTTATATTTGTATCTATATCTTGTAATGACTGGAAAGATAAGAGAGGAAGTCAGTGTGAGATCTGTGTCTATATCTGTGTATATATTGTATCTGTATCTGTATCTATATATGTATCTATATTCTGTATTTATATTTGTATCTATATATGTATGACTGAAAAGATAAGAGAGGGAGTCATTGTGAGATCTTATCTACTATCTATATCTTGTATCTGTATCTTTATCTATATCTGGGTATCTATATCTGTGTCTATATCTGTATTTATATTTGTATCTATATCTGTATGACTGGAAAGATAAGAGAGGAATCATGTGTTGAGATCTTATCTCTATATGTGTCTATATCTGTAACTAGTGTCTGTATCTGGTATATTTGTTATCTATATCTGTATCTATATCTTGTTATTATTCATTTCTACATATTTATATCTAGCTATTTATCTAATTCTACTATTTGTATCTATATCTACTTATTTGTACTCTATATTTGTTCTATATTCTTACTATTTGTATCTATATCTACTACTATATCTACTATTTGTATCTATATCTACTATTTGTATCTATTCTACTAATTTGTATCTATATCTACTATTTGTATCTATATCTACTATATCTATATCTATATCTATATCTGTATCTTATATCTACTATTTGTATCCCATTATGTATCTTTATCTGCATGTGTATCATATCTGTATGTGTAATCATATCTGTATCTATTATCTGTAATTATCATGTACTCTATATCTTAATATTATCTTTATCTATATTATTATATATGTATCTTTATGTATGTCTTTCACATAGACAATTTTTACTATATCTATATTTGTGGTTTTGTCTTTATGTATATCTTATGTAAATTTTATTTATATCTGTATTTTTGCCAATGTCTTTATCTATATCTGTATCTAAATCTTACTATGTCTAAACATTTGTGTCTATTCTATGTCCATAATTGCAATAAAAAATTTCTATATCTGTATTTATATTTATGTATTCGTCTGTAGCTATATCTATATCTATGTGTTTATCTATATCTCTATCTCTATCAATATCTATGTCTATATATTTATCTATATCTATATATCTGTATCTATATATGTTACTACATCTCTCTATATCTATATTTTGTTTCTATATCTATCCATCTATTTATATCTATAATTCTTATCTATCTATTATATCTATATTTTGTTTCTATATCTTATCCATCTATTCTATCTATATTTTGTTTCTGCTATATCTATCCATATCTTATCTATCTATCCATCTATCTATCTATGTCTGCATCTTGGGTGCTGTTACTAGTGATTGACTGAAAAAGAATATTTGTGTAAAATGCTTTGTCTATTAGAGGTCTATATAATGTGCCATAATCATATATGGCGTTAATTAAAAAAGAGTTTTCTCTAATGTTTCAGAAACTCATAGGACGAATACAGAACACACAGTGAATGCAATAAAAACTATCTATGTCCATTTTTTATACTTAATTAAATTAATCCAATATACAATCATGCATACAATAACATACGTAAAACTTCTACATATATAAAGAACAATATACGTTTGTACATAGGTAAGGATAACAATTTCCCCATTTTACCTGAGAAACAAAAATATATTATTTGAATATATTCTCTCGAATCCTGAAAAAAAGGGAGAGTAGAATCCATATTACTCATATTTCCTTCTTTCTCTCATCTCTAATCACGTTTCGTACGAACAGATTCTCTAACCCCTTTTTTTCAATTAGAGACATGTAGAAAAGGGAGATTAGCAGGTAGAGATAGTAGGAGGAAGAGGAGGGGGTTGGAAGGAGGGAAGGAGGAGGGGGAGGAGGGGGTTGGAAGGAGGGAAGGAAGAGGAAGAGGAGGGGATTGGAAGGAGGGAAGGAAGAGGAAGAGGAGGAGGTTGGAAGGAGGGAAAGAAAAGGAGGAGGAGGGGGAAGGAGGGAAGAGGAAGAGGAGGGGTTGGAAGGAGGGAAGAAGAGGAGGAGAGGAGGGGGGGGAGGAAGGAGGGGGAAGGGAGGAGGAAGGAAGGAGGGAAGGAAGGGAGGAGGAGGGGTTGGAGGGGGGGAAGAGGAGAGGGTTTGGAAGGAGGAACGAAGAGGAAAGGAGAGGGTTGGGACGGAGGAGGGAAAGAGGAGGAGAAGGAGGAGGAGAAGGACGGGTTAGAATGGGGAAGTAAGTAAGGAGGAAGAGAGAGAGAGGGGGTGAGGGAGAAGGGAAGTGGCTCTTGCTTGTGATTCGCTAAGACATTTAGACCAACAATCAGAAATCTCTCAGAACCGAATCTCTCCGAATCGCTCTTGAACCTTAACCCCGAATCCCCGACGCCGACGCAAGGTCAGGTCAACACGCGACCTCTGTTTACCTCCCTCGTAAGACCTTCCTGACCCCCCCCCCCACCCTTCCCCCCCACGAACTAAAACAAGGGTCACGTGAAGTAGGTGAGGTGACCAATTACGGGGGTCTGGGAGGGGTATGGGGAGGGGGAGGGGGGTAGAGTGACCTTCTCTCAAAGCTCTGCCATAATAGCGAGGTTTTACGACCGTCGGGAAGAAAAATATTTAGTAATAACACGAAATTATGGTCGAGCAAAAGTAGAAGGCCATGGTGTGAACTTGTT